TACAAACAAATAATGACAGACATACCAAATGTTAGCGATCAGAATTGAGAGAAGAAAGCAAAAGAAGAAAAAGGATGGCTCAATAAAGAAACGAAGAAGTCGAATGTGCATGTGCATAACTAAGCTATTCGATGAGTGCTTTTTGAATCACTCTCTTTCTTTGCGTTCGCTAGGTCGCATCTTCTGTATTCCGCACAAGTTAATCCAAAATACAAGCACGCGATAATATATGTTGCTTAGAATAAATTTATATTTATAGAAAATAACTATAACATTCTTAAGAAATTTTTTAACGCAATAAATGTATATGTATAACATATATTGTGATAAAAAGAAGAAAAGTTACTTCAATGAATTAGTGCATTCAATGAATAAAGGATAATATTGTTCAGTATATTAGTATATTTACACGATTATAGATCAAAAGAATAGATTAAGAATAAAAAATGATCAACATATATTGAACGATTTTTCATCTCGAATCAACTGATCCACATGAGAATATTCATTAATCATTCTGAAAAATCATTAAAAGAAACTTCCTTTTTTTTTGTAGTCATTATATTCAATATCTTAAGATATAAATCTTATTAATTGAATAATTATGTGTCATAAATGATTACATTTAATTCTTATTGAAATCATTACAATAATAAATTAGATAATTGTTTACAATAAATAATATAACAATATTATATAGATTATTCGGAAAAATTTACGAATAGTTTATATAGAAAAAATTATACGAATTAAAGACATGAAGAAAAACAATTATTTTCTTTAACAACTAAAGTTAAGATATTTAAAAAAATATATATTCGCAGCTATGACTATCATATAAATCGAATCAATTTATTCCTACATATCATTCCGAGTATGACATCAACCAATCGTCTGTGTCTTTGTAATTTCCAAAAGATAGAGGACTAATTTGTATTTATAACTTCCTTAGAAGAAATATTTCTACCACTACGACTTTTTTTTTCCTCAGTTTCTATTGATCTGCTTATATCTTGTTCAATAATTTATAAATTTTAGCATAAAAGGATGATTTAATTATTATATAGATTGAAATCTTCTTTTCATAATTATATTTTATATAATGATAAGCAAATCTACTTTTTTTGTTTTTGTAAAATATGTGTCTAATTTTAGTAGATTGAAAAAGAAAATTTTTTGATTCTCATCTACTATAAAAAAAAAAAGAAAATCAATTAATATCATATGTTAAGTTCAATGAGTGTATTTTATTAGACCATACTAGACGAATTATCACAAGACGACTTGCACAAATTGCGATCTTTGTCTTGGAAAGGAAGACAAAAAAAATGCTTGAATTAATCTATTAACGGTCACAAGGACATTTACATATAAAAATAAAGACTTATTTTGAGTACGTTGATAAGTGGAGTTGAGAAAATTTTGTATGGACTCTTTAAAATCTTGAGATTTATTAATCTTTGGCATACATGACATAGCATAATATGAAAAAAAAATAAAATTATAGAATTTTATTTTTAATCAAAAAAGTGAATATAAAGATATTTTTAAAATAGAATAAAACAATTTTATGTTTGTACATCAATACGATAAGTAACATATGTTTAACATTAATTATGTTTCATTAGTTTTAAATCTTGTGATCTTCATTACAACAAAACAACGTTACAACAAAAATACAAATAAAATGAACTAATATAATAATGAGAAATTCTTTTTTTCTTTTCTAAGTATGACTATGTCAGTTAACGTCAATATGATTGACAATGATAATTTTTCTTTTGTTAATTAAGAAAAAAAAACTATCACTGGAATTTTTATTTTGAAAATATCGTTATTTATCTGTTCGTTGTTCCAACCGAATTGATACTTGTTTTGGTGAGATTGTTACTAGTTCAACTAGATCTAAATTATTATCATCCATTGATGCTGGTAATACTGTATAGTTTTGTAAAAGACGTATTATTACAATTTTTATTTCAGCAAGAGCAAATCGCATGCCTACACAATTACGAGGACCAACACCAAATGCTACCCATGCCATTGGATGCCGTTTAGTTGCAAATCTTTCTGGATAAAATTTTTTCGTATCCACTGGTCCCCATAAATCATTATTATAATGTAAACTATACATATCAAGTGTAATCTTAGTACCTGGTAAAATACGACCTAAACCAGGTAAATCAATTTGTTCTGAACATTCTCGATTAATAATAATTGGTGTTATTGGATACATACGTAAAGTTTCTCGAATAAACCAATCAAGATATTCCATTTTATTAATAATATCATAATCAAGAATACTATCAACATTCAAAAAAGAATCAATGTAATTTTGTAATTTTTTTTGTTCATCCAAATGCGTAGCTAATATATGAGTAACATAAGCAAGAGCTGTACTTGTAGTTTCATAGCCAGCTACCATAAATAAATAAATATTTTGTTTTAGTTCATTTAATGATAAAATTCGTTCAGTATGATCATGCTAAAATCATTGAAGAAAAGAAAAACATATTGAAAGATTTTTTTTTTCAAATGTAAGCATGAGAAAATAGAATAAAGATTTGTCTTTAGAATTTATCATCTTTTTTTTTTGAATAAAAGAAATTTCTGAGATTTCTAATAAAATCTTTACCTGCTTATTATCGATGGAACTTTTTTCTGTTGCGTCAAGCATTATATGAATTAAATCTGCTGACTTAGTTATGTTAGTATTATAATCATTATTATTATTATTATTATTATTTTGATGAATTTGTGCTTTCTTAATAAAATAACCAACATTATCTTTAATCCATTCATTTGGATCATCTTCAATTAATTTTTCACCCATTGGCAATAGACGGCGTAATCTAGCCCTAATATAATTTATCCAACAATGACTTGTTAACCAAATTGGTTGTAATTCTGGTATTAATATACCTAATAATGTTGCTAAATATGCGCAATTTTCTCTAGCAAACACTTCTTGAGATCGTTTTAAATATGGATTATTTGGATCATTTTGCATATCAGTTTTAATACCAAAACAACATCTCCAAATAAGATCCATTGTAAGACGTTTATATAATTTATAAATATCAAAACCTTCAGATGATGTTTTCATACATTCTTCTAATTTAATTAAAAATGTTGTTATACAATCATCGATTATTGGAAACATTCGTTTCATTTTAAGTGTTGAAAATGTTGGATTAATAATAGCACGTTGTCGTCGCCATTGATCACCGGTAGCACTAAATAAATGAACACCTTTTGTTGTACGACGATCTTCCAATGGAAATTGACGTCGTGAATGAAATTTTGAAAAATATTTTATAAATATTTCATGTAAAATATCGGGATTCGATACTACAAGTATTGGTGTATGACCTTCAAAATAACCATAAATATGACCAAATTGATTTGTCCAATTTTGAATACATATTGATATACGTTTTGTACGAACAAAATCAGGTAAATTACCAAGTAAAAACATTGGTTGTGGTCCATTAATACCGAGCCGTGTAAAAAACGAATAGCATCGACGAATATGAACTAGATACAGAACCAATAAACATGTGAAGATACATATAAGTAAAATAAATGTGAACATTGTGTTTTGTTTTGGTTCTTTTCTTGTATATTGATAATTCTTAAGCTGAATAAAAGAAAGCAATTTATTTTCAAATGAAAAAATAATACAAAGACGAAAAATAATTCAAAAGACGAATACAAAAGCAGGTTTATGTTTCTAGGTTAATTTAAATTACACAGCTGTCTCCCAAATTGAAAAATAACATATGATGATACTTCAGCGTTTGTTTGTGTACTTTGTCACCGTTTCGCCGAAACTGATGTAGAAAAATAGGGCATTTTTCCATTTTTTCTAAGACATTATTATAAATGACGCATTTTAAATTAATCATATACCTGACTTTGCAATTTCTTAGAAAATCATGCAGCATTGATGAATACATAATAATTCCATAATACACACATGTTTTGTCAGCTTGCCTTCACTCTTCCCCCCCCCCCCGCTTCATCCTGACTAAGTAGTTAAAAGAAAAAACATGCGTAGGCAGGTAATAAAAAATGAACATCATAAAGTGGTATATTTCCGTTCTAATTGAGAGATACATTCTTGAGTAAGATGCAACTAAACACAGATAGAGAGAGAGAGAGAGAAAAACCAAACTCATGAGCGTATGATTGTACTATTTCAGAATAAAACCAAGTTAGTCATGATGTCATGTATTTTTTGATATTATTGGCATTGATGATGATTATTATTTTCAATAATTATTAACAACACTAACTCATTCGTAATATATCATTTTAATAATTGTCTTTGATATGAACATTATTAATGGGGTATATTTTTTCGACAAATAATTTCACCTAATAGGTATTATTTTTTTTAATAGACATCAAGGGAACTCAATTGAAGAGACCATATATGACGTTGTTTATATTGTTTATTGAAAGCAATGTCTTTTTTGCACGTAGACTTGTTTCGATTATTTTGTTAAAGTACATTTTATGTGCATCAGCTTTTCCTTTATTTACAAAAGTAAGACAAAAAGTCACTTTGTCCTGTCTGAGAGTAACATAGTTAAGAACATCACATATTATTCCGCTTCCATTGAGATATGAGCAGTAATATAATTAACTTTTACTTTTTTGTGTCTTTCTATTCATTTACTTTTCTTATTGAGCATATTGACTTAAATAAAACATTTTCCGTATTATTTAATGTTTATTTCAATTGTGAATGCTGTTCGACGGGTTTTTTTTTCTTGCAAGATAGAGACACATCTCAGATGTTTGTAAACGTTGATTTATTGTTTAGGTTAAATCAACACAAAAAAAAACCAGTGACATCGATAAGGCAAATAGACATCAATGTTAATTAATGTTGCATGAAAAGGAAAAAAAAACTTGTCTATCTTTTTCCAACAATGAATAGATTACTTGACAGAAAAATAGCTATGAAAAACAAAAGAAAAGAAAATTATATATTACATAACACGACAATGTTTGTCATGATGTTGTTGATGAAGTCGTCTTCTTGCTTGTTGTGCAGCTTGTTTAGCAACAGTATCTTCAACAGTTTCTAACATTCGACAAACTTCTTTAAATAATAATACTAAATGCCAATGATATTTAGCTGAACATTGTATTAGATTAGCTTTAAAATTTTTTTTTACATATTGTTGTATATCACGTGAATTTGTTAATGTTATATTTGAAAAACGTAAATCAGTTGATATTAAATCAACTTTATTAGCAACAACAATAATAGGTACATATGTTGTTGATCTTGTTATTATTTGATCGTCATCATCATTTGTAAGATCAACTAAAATTTCTGATTGATGATGGAAATGAGAATGAGAATGGGAATGAGAATGATGATGGTGATGATGATGATGATGATATTGATGATTATTATTGCTATAACCAAGACGTACACGAACTATTTCACGGTAAATATGTTTTATATAATTAAATGTTTCTTCACGATTTATATCAAATACTAATAAAAAAAGATGTGCACGACGAAAACAATACATTCGTACCCATTCTTGTTGAGGATCAGTATTATTGGTATCATCAAAACGTGGTGTATCAATAATACGTATATGAAATAAACGTTGACCATTAAATAATGATGTAAAATGATAGGTTGCTAAATTTGTTTCGGAATATGGTGTTGAAAAATCATTGTATAGCCATTGACGTACAATAGCTGTTTTTCCAACAGATTTATCACCTAAGACAGCTATCTGTATTGGTTGATCACACATTATTTTGTATCTGAAAAAAAATCTATACGGAACAAACAATAATTATTTTAATAAGTTATAGCTTAGTAAATATCTATATAGACTATCACTTATTATTGTTTTTTTTTTGATTCTCATTAAGCGATGAAAATATTCTAGTTCAGCATATCACGTTGCATAAATATAAGTGTTTATGCCCGTGAGGCATCACCAAAAAACAATTTTATACGATTATCTTTAAGCAATCGATCAACGTTTTTTTTTAAATAGCATATTGTAAAAGGAAGAAATACAGAAAAAAAAAATCTTCGCAAGCAACTATTATGAAAAGAAAATCTTGCTAATTCTTACCATTAGAAGAAGTCATAACTAATCTTTTTTCTCCTTATCGCTATTTCTTATGCTTTTTCTCCGTTTGTGTCATCTTCCGAGAATTTGAGGATATTCTCGACAAAACAAACTCTAGCTTTGGAAACCACATATGCCTGCATGCACCGCGAGAAATGTTCAGTTACTAGAAATAATCTGACATTGTTAGATCGCATTAGATATAGAACGATGAAAACAAAAAAAGAACGAGAAGAGAAAAAAGGAAGGAATTGAATGAAAATGAGCGATGAAGAAAGTCATATTATTGAGTGTCGTCGTTGTTGTTGTTGTTGTTGTTGTATTTTTATCGGATATATGTGTTGTTTTTCCTCAGGATGGTTTTTTCTTTTTTTTTTCTAGCTTAACATTTGTCAAATAATTGTCTTTTTAGCTTATCCGATTTTTTTTAATTTCCATCCTGTATAACTCTAATAGATATTGTAATGGCTCTCAAGTTGAATGGTTCGTTTTGATCAGTTCTTATCATGTTCAAATGCCTATATGTCATTTTAATATTTACTCTAGCACCCAATTCTTCTATGTCTTTATAGCCTGAAGCCATCTTTCTCATGGGAAATTGGAATGTAGACATGAAATACATATAAACAAGAGTTCTATTTACTATGGCGAGCTCGATTTCATTTAGACGAAGAAGAAAAAAAAAGCCGGAGATGATGAAGACGAAGAAAATCCTATTTTCTTTTTTTTTTTTTTTATTGACGTTTCTAATTCTTAGGACGTTCTATTATAAATCTATTATATAAAGACCTTTACATAAAAAACATCGAAATGATCATTTGTCTCAATTGAATTTTTCGATGATTAAATGTCGTTCTCTCTTTCTTTTCTTCCGAAAGACATTTTCTTCAGGAAAATAGAAAACATATTATACGATCCCCATTGTTTGAAAGAACAAAAAAACAAAAAAAGAGATGGTTGAATGTACCTTGCATTATAAAGATTTAATTATATCAATATGGATATAAATATTTCTCATAAATTTGTTTCCATCGACTGAATGATCTCATTTTCTATGGAACAAAGAAGAAAATGAAGAAGACGAAGAAGAAGGAGAAGAAGAAGAAGAAGGAGAGTAAGAACGCAAAAACAAATATTACTAGTTAGAAACAAATCTTATGAAGAATAACACGCAAAAGGCTCTACTATTACTGTTATTAGAATTAGATCAAATATGCAAATCTTTTGTGAAATCAACAGCAAAAAAACCAGATCAAAAGAAAGAATGATGAAAACTTGCTGTCACGTAAAATAATAATCACTCATATCGTATTATTATAATATTATTATATCGACTTGAGTCAATTACTTAAAGTGAATACAAGAAAATGAATAAGTTTGACAGATAAAATCTATTTAATTTATATCTTAACTTTGAAAATATATAAATTTAATTTTCGAATATGTTTCATATTTGTATTTGAGTTTTTTAATGGAATGATAATTTTTATTATAACATTCTAATTTAAAAAATATTTACTTTTATCGAATGAAACATAATTTTTAATGAAATCAAATCGATAGAATTTATTTTTATTAATAAGACACATCAATATGTATAATGAAAAGAATAAAAAAGAAAAAAGATTTGAAAAAGAAAAGTTTTGTAATGTTTATATTGATCAATGTTTATTTCGCAGTACGAAATGGTACAATTTGATAACCTTCACCCAAAAGTCGTACAACAGCTGCAAGAGCAATGCAACTAATCACAGCTAAACATCCCGCTATAATAGCTACAAAAGCGTGCCGTTGAATACGTTCAAATTTATGTCGAGCAACAACAGCATAACATCCAATAGTATTATAACGATTTATTGGATTCGTATTATTTCCAAACATATCAATACATAAATTATCTTCTGAAAGATATTTTTCATTACAACAACTAATTGGTAATTGTACAGATGATCCAAATGTTGCTGTATTTCGCTGTGTAGCAGAAGTTTTTCTACCATGACCACTTCCACTTGATGATGAAGGATTCAATGATCCAAATATAGCTGATTGTCGACTTCGATAATCTTCAACAGGATCAGTAAGACCACAACAATGATGTTGTTTTTCTAATCTTTCCATTTTTAGTGTATTATTAATTATAATTTCATTTCCAGACATTGTATATTTAGTTTGATCTAATTCATAAACAATAGTACTATTAATTGATGCTGGTAATTGACCACTTGTTATAGTTAAAAATGACCAAATACTAAGTGCAATAAGACCAAGTGAACAAATACCTAATAAAGAAGCTGCTATAACAGCAAATGATTTATTCACTTTAATTACACCAATTGTTAATATAATAAATGTTGATAATGCAAGAAGACCAAAAATAAGTAATAATACAGATGTTACATGACCAGGATGTATACCAACATCAATAAAATATTGAAGATGACTAAGTGCTGTTGCACCATGTAAAATTAATATTGTACTTACAGCTATTGTACCAATCATAGCAACAGTTAATGCTATACGAAATAATGTTCGTTTAGCTGGTGTTGAAGTACCATCAGTAGTAGCGACTATTACTGGCCGAGACTTCATTTTAATGTGTGTGTGTGTACAAACAAAATGTAATAAAATCAAATGAATGAATGAATGAATTGATGTAAGTCTAGTTATCGATTCTTCTTTTGTAACCTTGAATTAAATAGAATGAATGATCAATCAATCGTTTTTTTCTTTTCTAATGAATAACAGAACCTATTCATCTCGTATTACAATGTATAGAACAAATGTGAATTTATAGATTTATTTAACGAAATGAAAAAAGAAACAAAATTATATGATCATATCAAATTCTAAGTGCTATCTGATCAGAATAAATATAACGAATAATATGTCGTTTTTTCATTTCATTTTGATAGATTCTATCAAAATAATGATAAATTTCTGGTACAATCATTGCAATAACTACAAGACCAATTATTGAACAAATACACATTAATATTCTTGAGTAAATATGTGTCGGATATAAATCACCATAACCAAGACTTGTTACTGTTAATGCAGCAAGCCAATAACCATCTTAAAAAAAAATGATTTGAAATTTTTTTTTGTTGTTGAAATATTTTCTTTATACCAGTTACTGTTTGAATTGATGAATCACTTGTCCATTCTTCAATTAAATAAGTAAATTCACCAAAAAAAAGTATTATACTTATAAGAATAATAAATAAATGAAGTAATTGTTGAATACTATGTATTAATGAATAAAGAAATATTTTTAAAATAATTATTTGTCTTGTAAAACGAAATATACGTAATAATCGTAGAATAGAAATACATGTTAAACAAGAATAAAAATAAATTTTTTTATATTTTTGAATTTCAATAATAATATACATAAACAAATTTGATAATACTGAAGAAAATTCAAACCAAAAACATATATCAGAATATATTTGATAAAATGTTGGAGCTAAATAAATACGTAGACAGAGTTCTATTAAAAAGATTATTGTGCATAATAGTTCAATAATCATCTATATTAAAACGAAAAAAAAAATGTATGAATAATGAATGATACTTAAAAAAAAGAAGACTTTAGTATTTTTGTACGAATGATTTCTTATTCAAATCTTTGCAAATTCTCTAGATTTAAGAGATTTTATTTATTAAGTTTTTTGTTTGTCAATCAAAGATATGTAATGTTGAGCATTTGAATAGTTCAATGAATCATTAGATAATTGCATAGTAAACTAGAATAATTTTCGAAACCCATTTATTATTCTACCAATATCGTCTGCAAATTCGCGAACAATTTGAGTTAAAAGAACTATTCAACATGTTTTCTCAGAGAGCATAATACACTTCTATTCATAATACTGATGCTACTGAGGAAGTCTTTTCTATCATCATTAAGTGATGCAATATAAAGCCAAAAGAAATCTCGTTAAACTTATGTATTCTCGCTTAAGGTCCATCCCTTCTTCCATAAAAAATCGAGATTTTCCTCAAAAAAAAACAAGGTCGATTTTGAGATTTTGACGTAGATAAATAATCTTCAGTGTCGACACTCCAGAACTAATACGATTTACCAAATTTATTATAATTTTCCACTATTATACAGAGGGTTTACTAAGAGTGTGAGAGTCAAGAAAAACGTATCGTTTGAAAATGGGAGTTGACTAACTCCCAATTCAAATCAAATAAGCGAAAGAACTATTCGAACAGATCAAGTCATGTCACAAAATCTGTTCAAACATTTCGTTTAATGAAAACTGATCTATTCCAACGGTTGAATTTCCATCTAAGTTATTCGACAAGTTTTTTTCTATTCTGCGAACAGTATTTCAGGAACAGAATAAATGTTTATTATGCCCAGAAGCACTATTCCCGAAACAGAAAAAAAGTTTTTTTTGTTGCCCGGAAGTGCCATTCATAAACAGAACAAAAGCTTTTTATATTCCGAAGTGTCTTTCTAGAAAGAAAAAAAAGAGAACAGAAATTGTTTGGACAAATCAATTCCTATCAAAGAATTGTTTGAACTGAACGGTGGCTGCGATCTGAACTAAACTGTTCGAACAGATCAGTTTAGAACAGAGAATGTTTTCAAGGGTTCCTCGGATCCAAACTTGTAAATCTTTATTTGAAAAATTTAGTTATTGATGTCGATTGAAGTTATT